CATCAGTCTTTTATCCGCAGGAGGAGATCCTTAACGAGCCACAGCTGCTTGTTATCCTCTCCTGTGAGCAACCTGAAACCTCTCACAGGAGGTTTCTGTGTCAGAGTCTGATAGCAGCTCCAAAGGCTCCTACCGAGCCACAACACATAACAATGATGAGAAAATGGAAAACTTGACCAATGAGATAATTTGCCTTTATCTTTAGTTCATAGCAGTGCTACACTGACTTCAAGAGTCAGCAAGTGTAAAACAGAAAAAACTTTCACTCTTTCATTTCAAATGTCACTCATAACCAAAGAATTAAAAATAAAATGTATTCCCTACCTTAACTGATAAGGAGGGATCTTGGTAGTATCATCCAGAGATTCTAATGTTTCTGAGTAGAAAAGGGAGAAAGAATTATTTCAGAAAGCATCCAGCATAGAATTGAAAACATACATCATGATATATAGTTTTATGCAATTTGAAGTCCCATCTTGCTCATTTAGGATTATCCCAGATAAATATTGTATAAATTGTACACTGCAAGTGCACATATATGTAGATTGACATGGGCAGGTATCTTTTCCTCAATAAATTATTTTTATAGGCTCTGTTCTTCCTCTTCTTCAGGCCCATTTTTCCTTGGTAAATTTCCTTTCCATATGGTACAATATCTCAAATCTTGTCTCTTTATGTTAAATCACCATTTCCTAACTTCTAAATGAACTTATTATGCTTATGTAAATAAATGCACATGAATTATTGTTTAATTAATGTAACAAACTCAAATTTTAAAATAAATAAAAGTACAACTTTATGATCCATGCATAGTTACTTTTTATTGTCTGAATCAGAAGGTTTTACAAATACTAATTTAATCTGGACTGAATGGTATCCACTATTTAAAGCCGTCCCTACCTTATTTTTTTACGACTGCAAAGTGAAAATAAAATAATCCATCTTATGTATAACCCCATTCCTAGCTCTGAATTTTAAAAAGTGCATTATTTTAGCACAAGTTGATGCAAGGATACTTAATTTATTTTAAAATCCCAACAGCGTAAACTTCTTAAATATATTTCAAGGAATACTTTAAAAAGACGATTAATCTTGTATAGACCTAGCTGGGGCTTAGCAGTGTGAAGACGAACTTTCAAACTGCTCCTGAATGTCCATCTAAACCAGATCATCTGGATGGTTCTTTTTGGAACCAAGCTGTCCCGAAGAGACAGTGAAAGGTAGGGGGAGACCCAGTGGTCCCAGAGACATCCCCAAAATTTCTGGGGAACCAGGAAAAACCCTCTTTGCCAGTGATTTCCGGATTAGCAGCAAGGCTACTGAAACTGCTGACAGCCCCAAATAGCCTGGATAAGAAGCATGTTGTTTTGGTGAGAGCTTTAAAATCTTTTTTTTTATTGGAAAGAGAACACTCTAAATTTGGAAACTTAGTTTAAAATAAGGCTGATTAGTGAGAAAAGCGGCGGGTATAAGCTTTGCCAATTGAAGGATTTTTTTTCTCCGTTTCTCTTTTTATCNCTCAGCCTTCCGTCCTTCCAAGGCGGGTAAAATGAGGACCCAGGTGGTTGGGGACAAGAGGGTGACGCCGTAAACCGCTTAGAGAGGGCTGGAAAGCACCGTGAAGCGGTATATAAGTCTAAGTGCTGTTGCTATTGCTATGTGAATCCAGCCACTGAAGCCCACAATGGGTGACTTACTGTAATGTGAACCAGTGTGTCATAGTTTCTCAATAAACCACAGGTAAGAAAGCCAAGGATTTTGCCTAATGCATGAAGCCAGCATCTGGGCATTACTTAAGACCAGGTGTTCTTGGGAAGGCTATTTTGGTAAGCAATCTTATTTACCTGGCTGTTGAGCTCAGCAGACCTCTTCTGCATAAACACGTTGGACTATTAAAAGCTCCACACTACCTCTTAAATTATAGCCTGCCACTAACCGCGGATTGTGGAATCCGGCCAGGAAAATCAGGTTGAGGCGGGGAGTTCTCGATTCAGGAGGCTGCAGTACCACAACCGGTTGCCTAGCAACCTGGATGCAAATTCCCATCCCATTTGTCTTTCCAGCCACGACTTGGCCATGGGAGCTCAAAGGGGAGGATTGGGGGTGCGGGGGGAGCTAATGAGGCGGCTTTAAAAAGGCAGCGCCTACGCAATCTTCTCGGGGAGCCTCTCGGAGGCAGGGAATCCATCAGCATAAAAAAGAAATGCTTTTGTTGCTTTTAAAAAAACGGGACTGAACTAAAAATGGCACAGCACAAAGGTGTTCTGTCACAACAGTTGCAAGGTAGCAGCTGGTGGGATCGTCGCTGAGGGAAGAATCCTCCAAAATAAACCTTCTGGGATTCAGTAGGGTAGGACTAACTCTCACCAGGTGAACTTTAAAGAAAACCCTTAACAGTGAAGATGAAGGAGGCTTTCTGAAACAAAGACGGAAATATCTCGTGAGGCTGCAGCTCGGTGTAGTAGTTGGATATCTGACTTCTAATGTAGAAGGTCCAGTGCCCTTAGGTGAGCTGAGGCTGGCCCTGAGAGCTACCGCCAGCGGCCTCAATGAATGCCTGGTAAACATGGGGCAGGCAAGGCATCCTGCCAAACTAATAGATAATTAAATCGTGGGATATGGTCTTTTGAGATGGCAAACTTGAAAAGCCATCAAATAAAGGTTGCCAAATTGTGTGCCTTCGGGCACCACCAAGGCCCAAGCAAGAGGGAATCCTGCTCTCTCTCTCCTGCGATTCCACACTGCACAAGTGTTTGCAATATGTGGTTAGCTTATTAAATCTCAGCCGGTTGTGTAAATCTAACGGTTTGTTAACCCTAGTTTGTGGTTGAACACAGTGTATATACCCCTGGCCATTTTGTCTTACTTACCCAAGATAGATAAAATAGCAAATTGGCTTGGTAAAATGTGTGAATCTAGCAGGACATTATGAGGGGAAATGTTCCTGGTCAAACGGCTATCCAATTTGATCCAAGGTTTTCGATGGTTCTAAAAACTGAAACGGGTTTTGGGAGGATGATATCACTGTGCTTAGAATCCCTCCTAGTTTGGGCTTTAAATGCAGCTCCTACAAGGATCCTCTGGGAAAAACTTTAGATGGTTGACAACGACTCACACATTACCATTTGACGAGACGGGAGCCCCCTTGTGAGAATGCGTCTGGGGCATTTTCATATTTACGTTGGGCCTATTTCCTTCCATTCAGGGTTTTTAGAAGAGGCGATCTGGCCTTTGTATTTCCAACTCCCTGACTGGTTCTTGCAGTTCCATTAATTGAGATTAATGTCTCAATCAGTTTCATAAAAGTGCACATGTGGCTGGGAGATGAATCCCATGTCCATTGTGGCTCCAGATGCATTTATTTTGTCCCGCAATTAGCTTGTTTGTCACAGCAGCTGCCGAAATGAAAGCTCATCAAGAACTGTATTGCTATTGTCAAGACTTGTTTTGGGGGAGAGAGGCGAAGTTTTAAAAAATTATTTCATATTTTTGATGCATAGTTTTAACTATTTCAGTCTGCCCATCTAGGACTGAATGAATATTAATTTTTAAAACTACTTGTTGCTTCTTAACTTTCCTTAAAAGTTTAGCTTGATGGTTGGGACGTTAAATATCTTTCCTTAATCTGGGGCTTTCAGATAGGGTTAACCTACATCATTCTTCCTAGTCAGGAGATCTGCAAGCTGCCATTCCACACATCTAGAGGAATAAAGTAGGAGCCAGCTGGCCTATATTCTTATTCTTGGGCCTTTGGGATACCTTTCATATCAGAAAACTGCACTGCAAAAAAAGAAAATTGTTTTTTTTTAATTTAAGTCTCCCAGCGGTATTTTGACTGACTGTTTAAAACGTGGTTATGCCACATGTTTCTTTCCTGTAAGCGGGCAGTGCTGGCATCCCCTTGGGACCTTGACAATGCCAGATGCCATTCACAGGGGCACCCTTCATATTTCAAAAGGGGAAAGTTAGGACTGTCATAGAGTCCTCCTTCTCCTTCAGAAGGCCGCACTGGGTGGAGAGGAACGTTGCCAAGCAGATTTGGGAATAGAACTATTGTTTTCTGGTTTCAGCAACACCCCAAAAATGTTATATTTAGCTTCCAAGGATTTATGTAACATCTCTGACACATGCTTTCAAAATGTACAAGCTGTACAAGCCATGCTTCATCTCAAGATTTGATTTGATGGGTTTTGTGGCAAGAGAGAATTCTCTCACAGCCTGGACTCTTCTGACATGTCATCCTACTCTGCCTGGATTTCCAAAGAGCTTCACTGTATAATTGAGCCTCGTTTTTGAATGCAAGTTGCAGTACCTGAAACCCTTAAGTGTCAACGATATGGCAAACTTCCTAAAGGCTGCAAGGAAGAAGGAACGGTTGTTGAATGTGGAAAATCCAATAATTCCGAGGGATGTGAAACATCAGTTCAGCTGCAGAAAGAAACCCCTTCTGCTAAACAGAACAACTGGCCTACAAAAAGAAGGTCGTTTGATTCTGGGAGACTTCAGATAAAAAGCCAGTGGGACAAAAGGCCTTTGAAGAGGTTCCATGAGGAAAAATCCAGTGCTTGCCACTGGATCATGAAAATCCTTGGGAGAAAGTGCAACGTGTGTCTTTCTCATTCCCTCCTTTCCAGATATCAAAAAAACCCAGGTTGGCTGGGCCTCGAGGTAATCGGCCTCATCCTGTTAGGAAGCATTTCAAGAAAGCTCTCGGAGAAGATTTCAAGAGCTGTTTTGATTCAGGCAGGATGGATATCAAAAATATCCCCCAAGCCCAGTTACTCATCCTAACTCATTATGCTTGGCCACACAGAGTTTAATATTCTTTAGACAAGTGGCTTCCCACGACTTGGCTTGTGCTTTTTCCGATCAAGAGGGTGACTAAATCGTTAGCCGTAAGAGGCACCTCTCTTGAACTGATAGCGCTGGGTGCCCACTTCCACTTAAATTGGGAGGGAGACGGGCAGGAAGGCATGCCTTGCCTCCGTGAAAAGCAGCTACGGATTTTCTCTTCCCCATCGGTTCAAATAATCTGTTCTCATGTATGCATTGATGCCAACTGACTGCCCCAGTGCTCTGGGTCCGTATCCAGCGATCAAGATCAGAATATCCAGAGGAAGGCTGATCTTAGGTCTCGTAGGGAGTCATGGTTGACTGAGGACTTGCAGCCCTGTGTCCATTCCATTGCTGGGTGGGCAGCTCCCTCACAATCACACTAAATAAATTGCAGATCAGAGGACAGTTTCAGTGAGTAGACAAAGATAAGGAAAGCCATTTGTTTTTGAGGAGGAGATCTCAGCTGTGGGCAAAATTGGGTCGCTGTCCTTTTGGAAGAAAAGTGTTCTCTGAGAGTTTTTCTTCTTCTAAATCTACCAC